AAGATGATGATTTAAAGGTCTAGGATAGGTAGCACTTATTTACAGCTCGACCAGGGGAATACGCTAAGAGAGGTAAGAAATCTTGCCGCAGCTCCAGAATTTCTTACCGGGCTCATTTCGGATCATGGTGATTCGCAATGTCATGAAAGAAATGAAATATTGTCGCGGTACGAGGGCTCCTGACGAGCTGCCTCGGCCAGCTTCTGGAGTTCCGCAGCCTAGACCTCTAGCCTACACAATGGTGCCCATAACGAAGAATTGTAGTTGAGCTTCCGTAAGAGCCCTACCGGCAATGGAGTGTATGGGACGCTGCTGGCTTCTTATAAAAATATCAAAAGATCGAAAGCGCTGGTAAAGCTGAAACACGCGCTGTAGCGCTGAACGGCATGCCTATAGAAGCTATTGCAAGATCACTTCTTCCGAATGTCGTTGACACGACGAATCCATGGTTTTGTAGACATTTGTACTAGACAGTGACTCGGAGTACGGATTTGCTAGTGGTCGAGATTTTTTGAATTTTCTTGGATAACTACTGACTGCAGCAACTTATATCCACCTCGTGGATTGAAGCCTTGAGAATGCTCTATCATTTGGTAGTCATAAATGTTACCCATGAATTTTTCAGAAAAAAAGAAAATTTTAGAAAGGGTGTCGCAGAACTTTCTTTCCAACCTAGTATAACCAGTGACGATTCCAGTCAGCTCGGCGGGATACCAACATTCCGACAGCAAAGCCACCACTTTCAAACAGTGTCCACTGTCAAGTCCCCGCCACTTTCAAAAAGGGTCCACTGTCACGTGACACTGTTCGAAAGTAGCGGGCTTCCTTTGAACGTTGGGTCCCGCCACTATTGAGTCGCTGGTACATAGTTCGACTCGCTGGTGCATCGGTCGATTCGCTGGTGCCAAGTTTGATTCGCTAACGAATCGCTCAATTCGCAAACTACGACGCCGGCCTAACTCTGCCCTTTCCCTCTGCACCCGCACTCTTTCTCACTCCATTCCCTCAATTACAATCGGTTTTTGGTACGCTCATACGTTTATTTCTTTCTGATCCGTTTTATGCGCTTTCGAAATTCAGTGGTTTCGGTTGGGCGGTAGTGTTGTGGTGGCAAGTGGCACGCCTTGCCACGCGAGCGGTCCGGGGATCAAATCCTGGGTCGTGAGTCGCCCGGGCCAACCAAGCCTTCCATCCCTCCGGGGTCGGTTAATTGGTACCAGACTTGTCTGGGAGGATAAAAACACTGACTTGTACATGGCCCCCGCAAGTCATTGTATAGGCCACATCGCATTCAAATGCCACTGCGAATGTACAAATGGAAGTAGAATGCGTGCCGCATCCCAAAACGGGATTGATCAACGGCAAATGCTTTATCCTTATGTCTTTTATGGTTTTGAATGTCATCCAACCATGCTTCCCTCTGTATACCGTTTTCTTTTTCTTGACTCATTTGTCAACCATTGCTTCATAATGCAATGTTACACCATGTCTCTTTTCATTAGGCAGGTTTTTTGTAGGATACAGTTTAGAATTGCTGTATCTATGATGGGTGTCTTTTTGCATGTTACGGTACTTAAATTACATGATGTTGCTTCATCTCATGGGAGTTGGGGAAGTTTTTGATTAGGAGATACTGAGAAAATGTGTCAAGCACTTCTTTGCAGACAAGACAATTTTCTCATATCAATTAGCGATGCGAAGCCACCCTTTTCGCTTTTTCGTTTCTTTTTAAATGCTGCTGCAACTTCTTTCTGTCGCCACATATATCTTGCTTATCTCTGATGTCTGTGTGCGGTGTTATGTTTTCTTATATATCTGATGCGCGGTGAGAGTGTGTTCTTGGCGCGCATTTAGCAAATACGCTTAGCGAGAGAAAGCTCGATCGATCGATACTCGCGGGTGATGGTGTATTATAGAAAATCGTAAAGAATTTAGCTCTCATAGAGGTTCTTCTCTTCATTCTAAATAATGGATACTCTTCTCTTCTCAGGGGGAAATATAATCCTCGCAAGTGTGGTTCGTTTGCATTTCTTTTCTTGAGTTGGATTTCCTCGCAGTATGCATTACCTTTCGCTATGCTGGTCGCTGCGCGCTTCAAAGTCGCGACTGCCGCGCCGGACTGTGAATATCTCTCTCTCAAAAATCTTTTTCGTATGCACCTTATTTTACTTGTTGCAGCTCACTCACCGCTTTCGTGCATAAAAGTTTAGAGCTCAATCAAAAAAATTGACGACGCCTTTTTAGTTTGTGTTGGAGTTAAATTTTCCGCTTACATAGACTCATTGACCACTTCGTTTATTGTGTCTACATATCTTCTTCTTTTCAGACACCGTGGATCTCCCTATGCATCAAGGAAGGCGTAGAGGACGACCTTAGGATACATACGAGTAATGGGGAACGTCAGCATCTAAGACGCCTACAACTGAGCGAAAAGGATCGTTCTCTTCGGCTTTCAGAAAATGCTTTACGTCAACGTCGAAGACGTTTAGAAGAGACCCCTGAGGAGCAGTCAACTCGCCTAGAAAAAAACTCTGCGCGTCAACGTCGAAGACGCTTGGCGGAGTCTACAGATGGACGGTCGATCCGCCTTGCAGGAAACGCCGCACGTCAACGCGAGAGACGTTTGCTGGAGAACCCCGAAAAACGGTGGACTCGCCTTGCAGAAAGCGCTGCGCGTCAACGTAGGAGGCGCTTACTGGAAACCCTTGAAGAATGAGTCGATATCTGCCTTTTGAGCGAAATAAACGCTAGCTGCGTACACAGTTGACAGACGCTGCGAGTCTACGAGAGGAACTGTCGGTCCGCCTGCACGAGAGACAACGCCGCACAGCCAACGTGCGAAAGTCCATCCAGAAAACTATGACTCAGTTCGAATGTTGGATTGATAAAAAAGCTGTCGCAGGTTAAGCGTCGAAAGTTTTCAATAAAAAATCCATGATTGCGTGGAAAGAACATCAGAGAATTAACGAGCGAGGAATATGTGATCGTAGTGGTCCGGTAACTTCTGATTGCAGGTAAACTTCAACTCTTCTCTGTACGCTGAAAAGCTACTTAATGACGTTCTTTCAAGACTAACAATGCATAGTAGAAAACGGATCGCATTGAACATCACATCTGTGTCGAAGTTTGCAGAACTACGTACGAAGGCGGTTCCGGTTGACGAGAATGCATATCATTTTATTCTTATCTCATCGTGAGAGTACACGTTGCAAGCAACAATCATATCAAAACGCAATGGTATAGTCACGGAAGCGTTCCTTCTTGTGATATGGAACGTTACTGTGCCAGAATCCTTCTTCTTAACACAAGAGAAAGATATCTTCGAAGATCTGCGAAGGTTGGACGGCATCACATTCGATATTCGCTGACGCAACTCAACGTACAAAATTTTCAGACGAAGATAGATATTTTTGTCATTTAATAGGAAGCAGTACAATATCAGTCGCCAGAATGTATCCGAAATTGCTTCGGTAAACTCCACTTTCTTGACGTCGTACATGTGCATGAACTTCGGAAAGGGTTTACTAATGCGATGTCAGATGACTACATCTATTCAGAAACGACCGTGAGTAGAATGAGAAATTTGCGTAGTTTGAAACGTACTATGCCTCATTTTCTGAACAATTTTAGAGTTTCAGTTCGCTCTTCGGCAGATGAGCGCTCGGTGGAACTACAATGGACAGACAATTGATCACGAACTTACGGAAAAACGGCTTGCTGCGCTGGGCAAATCTCAACGTCAGGCGAATTTCTGCCATATCAGAGGCCCACCTAAAAGGATGCAGTGGTAAGACCTCGGGTTGTGTGCATTTTTATGTTCACGGCCTTTGAGGATGAGAGTTTACTTAAGGTGAAGGCCTATCAGGGAATCAAAGTTCCACAAGATAGATAAACACACTGCGTTTGACGAGATAATCCTACTTACTATAAAGCTGTCTGTCTCTCTGCCGTTTGTACGTCTGTCACGAAATTCCCTAGCTCCTCGGGATCCGCCTGGAGGGACCGGGTCAAGTGTGGGATGGGTGGGCAAGGTCTCACGAAGTACAAAACACACATCAGCTAAGCGGAGCCCCGCCCACAGTGGGCGTGGCGTGCATCGAAATGAACTGTACTGACGACCAAGATTTTCAAA